CCAGATAAAAATAAGTAAACGGCAGGGCAGGTGAAGAGAGAGAGCATGACAAGGAGTAAAGAGAGATGAGGGTAGCTTAGAGAGGCTGTGGAGGAGGGAGGCAAAGGAGGACAAATGGAAACCAAAACAATGAATTAGAGAAAGACTTAAGGAAAACGGCTTGACAGCTCTCAAGTGCATCCTTTTGCAAGGCATTAAATCCCCAAACAGCTGCTCAGAGGGCAATTTCACAAGAGTGTAGTTGCAAGACACTCTCAATGCAATGATGATTGAGTTTTAATGTATAAAACTTTAGAAAATGGTGAAGGCGGCCTGTTTCATTTTCCTAGAGCCCAAAGTGACAGCTTCAGATGCTGGTTTATCACACACTGTAAAACACTAAAATATTTAATTTAGCAAGAAGTGTTTAATAAATGGGTTAAAAGATGAAAAGACTTTTTTTAGCTCTAGTAAGTACAATGTGTTAGTAATACTCATTGGATTAAGGATGCTGCAGAGGTCTTGGCAGCAGTAATAATGAATCACTGCACGTTCACTTGCAAATTAGTGTCAATACATGCATTAACCAACCACCTATAGGTGTTTAATCTATGATAAATTAACAAAATAAAATCAGTTTTACATATTTCATTCCATCTGTGCCTCAACACTGTGTAATATCCTTATTAGATGATGACTAAAAGCTTGAAGTACTCACTCCAAACATATAAACACACCTTTAAACAGTATCAATGAGTGAGCTGTATACTGAGAAAAAAATGTGCCTACGTGCACATGGCTCGAAACATCGTGCTTACAAGTATTTGTGTATTTCCACAATTTTCTCAGCCAGTGTGTACGTGTCCATTTGTGTGTATGCATTCGTCTTTCTGTGCACCTAATTATTTGTGCTTATGAGCATTGTCTCTGCCTGTGTGTTACACATGCATAATTTAATAGCATAACCCACATGTTGTTTGCAAAGAGAACAGTCTCTCACTATCACACAAGTATTCGTAAACACTACCTCTGCCTGAAATAAAGAAACATTTAACAGCTAGTGACTCACTTGCCCGCACACATGCACAAACACTCCGAGCTCGTCTGAAGGAAGTGAAGGCAAACAGAAAGAAACAGGCAATATGGTGAACTTCCTCTGAGCACCACAATATGCTCCTTTGTGCACATGTTCTATTTATTTATAAATGTATGAAAACAAATGACAAATATTGTATTTGTTTCTTTCACTGCTAAATTATGTTTTACTTAAGAGAAACTGCTTCACAGAAAGATAGCACAATAAATAAATACTATCAAGTCAAAAAATACATTTCTCTTTGCCCTGTAACATTATCTAAATTTACTGCATCTCATTTGTTATTCTGGGTCCGTAAATTCACAGGATTAAAAAGCCAATGTTATTATATATAATTATCATTACTGTCATCTCGCCCCTGCTGTCACTGTATTTAGCTAAACGAGGTATACATTTTCTACAATTACTTCACTCCTCTCTTCCCTCCACTTGCAGATGATCTCTTTCTGCTGCCTGTCAGCCTCTCCATCTCCTCTTCGCCCTCCTTCCCTCAAAATACTCATATCCCCGGTGAGGAGCTTATTAGATCAGACCTCTCTCTTTCCTGATCTCCTTTCCGTCTCTGGTTTATCAACTTGTTAATTTAATAACAAGTTTCCTTCTCCCTGTCAACTCATCCTTCATGATATTATCTCACTAGTATCTGACCTCTTCCTGACCTCTCCATGTCTGTTGTCCTCTTCCCATCTTTGCCAGCTCTCTGTCTCTCTTTTTTAAGTCATTATTGTCTAGTGAGTCTCTAGAGTACCTGTTACTCTATTACTGTGCCTGTGCGACAAGGTTCCTGGCTGCCAATTGGTGCCTCAAACACAATCACACTCTTTTCTTACATAATCTCTCTTGGCTCATCCACAAAGACAGGAATGTGAATGTACACACTTATAATAAAAAAATGTTAGTTCATTTCTGCCTTCTTTGCTCCCTGATAATTTAACTTAAAACCGGGACTGTGTCACAGCAACGCCAAAATCCAGGTTTGTTTTGTCAACACCAGAGGATAAATGCCAAGGTGCAGCCTCCAGGTTTGTGTATATGAAAGGGAAGGAGCAGCCACCTACAGTGGTGGAGGCTGGAGCTAGAGTCAGAGGAGCTGAAACCAGCAAACAACCTCCTCATTTACAATCTGAAACTCTGACACAGTACACAGCCAATCAACTGACAACAAAATAAAAGCCTAGCTGCATATAACAGCCTGACATTTCATGCTTAATACAAACTGAATGCTAGGTAGTATTCTATAAGTAGATTTGGTTTATTCTCCCATTTGTTCATTAGGGACTTCACCTTTAGGTCTGCATCTATAAATGTTTACACCACCCCCCAAAAACAATCACAAAATCTAAATGTCTATCCTTCACAAATGCTGCACTAAACACATTTACATTAAAATAAAGTTGCTATCTTTATTATAGAATTAATAGGTATTTAAATTAAATGTTTTATACAAGAATTCAAAGAACAGAAAGATGTTTTTTTCAAATAGTAAAGCTCACGTCTCTCATGTTAGGTGGAACTGATTAAGACAAATGTTTTGTTACTTTGACTTCTTCTAGAATACATTTCCAAATTCATCCAAAAAATTAATATTCCTTTTCCATTTTTCCTCGTAACAAGCTACCTGTTAGCTACTTGACATGTAAGACATTGTTGTAAATGTTCTCACGCAGCTATGAGAGTGTGCACATGAGCACAGATAACATTAAAAAGCAGCAGTCCATTCCATTATCCTTCTGATGTTGTAACTATAACACCCAGTGACTGAACAGGAAAGACCAAATTACCTCACTGTTCAAGCACATCATGTAGTGACTGCTGAAAATGGAGTACTGTAATCTTCAATAATCCTTACCAGCACTGAAAATGCCCTTAGTCGGGTGCTGAATACAAAATACTGACACATAGCCGGAACAGCAGCAAAAGCAACTTTGACACCTTGATCATCACAAGCTGTCACACATGCTGCTCACTAACAATTGCAATTTTTAAGTTGCACAAAGAGAAATGTGTAGGTGGTTGTGTCTCATACTCCAGGAGGCCACACGTGAAATTTTACATCAACATAACAAAAACAATGTTGCAAGCAGCAGCAGCTAATTTCTTTCCCCCTTTTCCTCTCCTTGCTGCACGCATGCAACAAAAAGCAGCTGTCCAGTCATTTGTGACTGGAGAGCAAATAACAGAATAGAAACATAAGTAGAGGGATAAAAGGTAGAGTAAGTGGGCTAACACAGAGGGAGGTAAACAAAAAAGAGATGGAGAGCTAAATAGGAAGAAAGAGAAAAATGTGCACAATAAACCATTCATTTGTGTGTGTAGACTTGCGCATGCTCACATCTGTGTGTGTGTGTGTGTGTATAGAGTGTATGTCTACTTCCCAAGGTCACTGCTGAGAGCAAGGAGGGAGGGGGGAAAAATTAACAAGATCGGTGGACAATGACGTTAGCCCTGAAAGGAAGATTACTCTTAAAGGGACAGCTCAAGACACAGGTTTGCAAGGACACCCCGATATAGACGATGGGCAGTTTAGATGTGGGAGTCATTCATTATGTGGATTGAGTTGATTCAGAATCATGCTGAGATCAAGGATTCGTTTGTGGAGGCAAAACTGGCCCAAAAAGAAAAACACATAAAACAACATTTTAATTATTTCATAAGGAACAAAATCTAGTCAGAAGGAGAGCAATACAGAGCATGTACTGCACTACCCCCTGGAGTACCACACTCACAGACTGAAAAGGAGCAGGCGGTACCTTAATGCAAAGCCACATGGGAGAATTGAGGGAACAAAAGGACTTTCATTAGTTAACTATAGACATGGGACAACTCTAAATGAAAAGGTCTAGCTGTGTCGCTGTGTTCAGGAGACACACCAGACAGACACAAGCACCAAAAGATGCACACGTTTCTTGTTTTTCCAGTTGTCTTCAAAATGTCATACTGAGGAGTAGGTGACAGGCATCCCAAGTAATTCTGCTTTTAAAAAGGAAATATGAAAAACACCTTTTTGTGTCGGTTTTGACTCTAACCTGACTTGCTGAGTGTACCACCTTTCTGATAGCAGTCGTCTCAGCCTAGAACTTCACTTCTTTTCTCATCTTTTCTGCCACTTTCTTTTCTTTATATTCTGCATTTTTGTCTTATTAATCCTAATGCTTCCTCACAAATTTTCAGATCCTTACATATATGTGCTATCTTCCCCTCACTAAAATTGCCTCTTGTTTCTATTTTCTTTAATGCTTTCACCTCAGGTTTGCTTTCATAAGACAAAGCAGCACACAAGTGAGAGCAGTGAGAGACAGTATTACTACTTCATATGCATATAGCAGTCATTCACTCTTCCTTCAGTCAGTCTCCTTTCCCGTCCAGCATGTTGTGTAAATACCAGAGGTCACAAGCAAAATATCTTCCACAAAAATCTTTGTTAAAACACTATTTACAAAAAACTGTACAATTACTAAGCAGAATTTGTAACAACGAGAATCAACCACATCCACCAAAAATGATGTTTTTTCCTGGCACTACACCAGATCCGGCGACATAACACATTATAAATAGAAACTAAGGTGTGCATTTGCATATGTGTGCATCTTCTTCTTCCTGTGTGTGCCTGCCATGTGCGTGAATGTGTGAGAAAATAAACAAAATGCTGAGTAGACTATTGTAACGATATCATGCCACCATTTCCTCTTGCACTTTACCTACAGTCATATATAGCCTTAAATTATACATCATGTGACTTCATCACATGTTGTCATAGCATCTCAACAGGTTTTCATGGACAGTTACGATACCCAACCAAATAGATATACAAAATGACAGAGGCTTGGAAACACTTGGTTCTGCCTTTTTTTTTTTTTATAAACCCCACACATATATTGTCCATCTAATCAATGTTCCCCTTTGTGAGTGATTACGTCTGACTAACCTGAGAGTAGAAATTAGCCATAGTGGTAGTTTCTATGTCCTTCTTTCCGAGTATTTCCATTTTGACTGGGGCTGATGGGAACCTGGTTGAGAAGTAGTCCAAGAAATCAGGCAGGTAGCTGGCTTCTCCGTGGACAATTCCAATGACATAATGAGCTGCCTGGAAACAGTCAATAATGCTATATAGTTAACACTAATGGTTCAAATATTAGAAACATAAAAGCTGCATTTTGCTGTATGTATACTGCAGCTGCATCATGTTGTACTAAACTCAGCACCTGTTGATAAATATAGTATCTCTGCCATGCTTTACCTGTGAGGAGTCCTCGCTGAAAGCCAAGCTGACAAACTCCTGGGCAAATCTCTGCCTCTGGCACATGGAAAGAGAGGAGAGCTGTGAAGTGTAGGCATGGGCCACCAGTGCCCCTCCATTGGGCTGGTTCTCTATGTGGATATATGGAGCAAACTCCAGACCTGCCATGCCAGGATAGGTGCATTGCAGCTGGTGCTTAGTTGGGGAAGGTTGGGGGGTCCTGACAGAGGATGACGGAGATCTGAGGAGAGAGGAGTTAAAAGGGGATTTGGAGCAGAGAGCAGGAGAGGAGGGCAGGACCTCTGAGCTTTTGCTGAAAACAGGCAGTGGGGATTTAAACTGAGACAAGGAGTCATCCTGTGTGAGACTGGAGGATGGAGAGGAAGGAGGGAGGAGAAGCAGTCCAGCACAAATAGTTTGACAGGAGCGGTGGCACATCTTCACTCGTTTGTGCTTCTCCCCCTCTTTGTGTTTCTTTTTCTTTTTCTTCTTTACTTTTTTGATTTGTAGCTCCTCTGAGTTGATCTTGGCTTTCTCTTTATCATCTGGATAGAGTGACAGAGAAAAAGAGCTTATTACTGGGCAAGAAGAGACATTACAAGATAGGGCATTCGTACATGATCGATATAAAATATGAACAGGGTCACTGACATGGGAGGAACACCAGGTTAGCTGCCCTGAGCTCTGGGTCAAGGGGGCTCCAAAATGGCCCTCTAATGGAAGTATGTGTAGGGAGGGGGACCTTTGGTGTTCATCTTGTCCCAGGCTTGAACAAGACAGCCAGTGGGCCTGAACATGAAAACAAATGTAATTTTGAGAAGGCTTGAAGGGACACTACAAAAATCTATTCCCGTCTGCTTTCTTGTGTGTGATGCAACAGCAAACCAATAATCAGCTCCTTTGTGTCACCTTACTGTGAAAACACACTTTCACTGCACTTCAAAGTGAACCAGGTCCTGAAAAAACCAAGCACTAACTATTTTAAGCATGAGTAGACCACAACTCTTAGCTTTTCCCCAAATGATGTGCATCTCATGGGGTGAATACATAAAATAAACTGAAGAGGCCTGAAATGGAGTCCCTGGAGAAAAGCAGATATGACTAAGCCAGGAAACCAGCTTTAGGCTTATCTGAACAGAGATAATACTGTACACGGTAGTCCATCTCTTAAACGCCGAAGGCAGGACTGGATGGACTGTGCAAATTTATGCACAATGCTACTATATGCATTTGTCTGTTACTGTATGTGTGCCAGAGCTGCTATGTCTACAAAAGTGTTGCTGGCTGATTCATTCTTTTCCAGTGTAAACAAATGGACAAGCAAGAATTTACTGTATATGTGCATGAACATGTGAGTCACTTTGACAGAGGTGCAGCCACCTCAGCATTATCCAAACATCAGCTACTAGATTGATTGCTTACACACACACACACGTCTTTATGCCTTTGTGTGGCCCACGTTCTGTGACTTCTTTGTGAGGGCCACCACTTCTATAGCTACAATGGTGCAGAGATAATAAGAGCCTGGCCGATGTGTGGTTCTCCATTGGGTGAAGCAGAGTGCAGCATGGCCTGTTTGGGACTTAGAAAAATTAATGACCTGTGGTCCTGGTACTCAATATTGGGACTTAGAAAAATTTCTGTTCCCACACAGTGTAATACCAGAGGCATGATACTCCATTTGGAGTACCAGGGGCATGAAGTTGTGGCCGGAGAGTTTTAAATTGTTTAGCCCAGGGAGGGGGCTTAAGCGTGGGTACACAGGTTCAACCGGTGCGCCGGGTGCGGGGTGCCTGGAGCTCTGGTTCACCAGGGGAGCTAGCTGGTTCCTTTCCCCCCTATTATGGAGCTCCATTCTTGCGGTACTCCCTGGTGACAATGAAGCATAGAGTCCCTGGGGCTTTGGTTCAGACTATTTATATGTAAATATAATGTATAGTCCACGTAGGTTCAGGTCAACAGCTTTTTTT